TGGTAGTACATACCTGTAATCCCAGGACTCAGGAGGCTGAAACAGGAGGATCACCACAATTTTGAGGCCAGCTTGAACTACATGCTGAGACCCTGTTTCAAAAGTGGGGAGTGAAGAGATCAGAGAATGAGTTCTGTGTGTTGTGAATCTCATTTTAACAAAGAGATTCTCTGTGAGAAACCATTTGACAGCCAACAGTTAGGTGGAAATGTAAATGTTTAACTTTTTTTTTTATGAGGCAGGGTCTTGGTGTGTAGTTCAGGCTGGCCATAAGCTCACAATGTACCCTAGGGTGGCCTTGAACGCATAGTGATCCTCCTGCCTCACCCTCCCAAAGTGCTAGAATTACAGGTGTGTGTCACCATGCTTGGCTAAATGTTTGACTTAAAAAAATTTTTAAATTTTATTAGTATATGTTGCCATATACATGTTTGGTGAAGCCCACCCGACCTCCAAGGCTGCTTGACAAAGTTCCAGCTTGGGGAAAAGGAGGGTGGAATACATCGTACCCTCATGTTTTATTTTTTCTTGCCATAATGTTTATAATTGTTACTCTGGTCACAGGAGTCACTGTGTTTGTGACTAACAACAAACTCTCCATGAGGCTAATTGGCAATGATATATTGAAATTTGATCTGGCTCAAAAGTCCCAAAATTCCAGTCTCTCTTAGTTCTATTGCCACATCCACTCCTAAAGAAACTTCTCCTGAAACCCCCTCTGTTTCCCCGACTACTATAACTCCCCCCTCTCATTGCTGACCTTCTTATTACTAAAGGGGTCTTATGAAGAGGTTGAAAGGACAGACTTTAGATGTAAGAAATAGTGGAAAATGGGAAAAAGAAAGAAAGTTAAGACAGGTAAATGCATTAAGGAGGCGAGTTATTCAATATTTCTCACAGTGCTGAAAATATCTCCTGCTCATGAACTATGAACCCAAATGACGGTTAGTTAAGATGAATAGAGGTATAGAGAGGTAGAGAGCTAATAGCAAACTGTATTAACTGTTGTGCAGTTTCTCAAGGGCCAGCTAGTGACCGCAAGTTTGACATTTAATTAATTAAATCTTGCTTGTACCCCCGCTGCTATAGAGATTCTAATTAAGTTACCCTCTGGAGATTTTGATTAAGTTACCTTCTGTTCTGCTTAGGTTTGGGAAAATAAGGGGACAATTGTGATTTTTAAGAAATGTATTCATGATGTTCGATGATATGAATCAGCTTAGAAAAATATATTGTTTAGTAAAAATAATCTTTACCTCATTAGATGTTGCTAAGGCAACCTAAAATGTAAACATGTTCCGCCCAATGCTCCCTAGCTAGTGCTTAGAGATATAAAAATAAATCAGACCCTGAGACTTCTCAGAGGGAACCTGCACATTGCTTGCGACGGTTCTTTTCTCATCGCCGGCCCGAGACCTCTCCCCTTCCTACTCTGCATCGACTGCAGCTGGTCTGCGGCACATGTTTGACTATGAAACTAGTTATTTGCAAGAATGTCAAGCAAGAGGGGCTTCCAGTCTGCTGTTTGAAATATAAATTGGCAGAAATAATTACAGCTAGTTCTTGGCAACTACTTTGCATTCTAGGCTATTCAAAACCCCCTAAATACAAGGACCTTTTTGTCATTGTAGCAGCTGTGGGAAGTAGGTGCTCCAATGATCTAGTTTTGTGACTAAGAAGCTATGATAGGAAAGAGTGACTTACCCACTAGACATGCAGACACATACAATGCTTTCTGTGATACTCTTAGAGACTCAGAAAAAACATTAACTTACTTTTAAATTAGCAGGAAGTTGGATGTGGTGGGGCAAGCCTACAGGCCAGCTGCTCAGGATTCTGAGGCAGGAGGATCACTTGAGCCTAGGAATTCAAGACCAAGCTGGGCCACAGAGCAGGATGCTGTGTCAGAGAGAGAGAGAGAGCGCTGACTGTAGTAGTCCACTCTTATAATCCCGGTACTTGGGAGGCTGAGGCAGGAGGATCACAAGTTCAAGGCCAACCTGGGTTACATAGTGAGACCCTGTGTCAAAAAACCAAAACAACAAAAAAAAATTTAGAAAGAAAAGTAATCAGGAGGGAAAAAGAGAATGCAATCCAGCCTCAGTTGTGTTCACTGTCAGAGCAATGTAGGCTACAATGTAACTTACTTGTATGGATGGGAAGACCCCATGGCACAGGGTCCACAGCCTGTGGAAGTGGGAAGGTGACTGGAGCCAGAGGAAGGGGGCACGGTGCCGGCCCCGGGTGAGGCCTTCAGGTGGGGCGGTCTGCTCCTGCTCTGGACGCTGCTGCTCAGCTGCTCACTCCCAGGTGCACAGTGGAGAGGCCACACCCTCTGTGCAGGGACCAACATGTGAGCAAGAAGATTTACAGCAACGCTGTTCATCAGAATAAAACGTTGGTGTTTTTTAATTTTCAAGTTTTTTTATCAATATGTATTTACAGTACAGAGTAATTACATCATCTTGAGGAATCAGTACATAAATGGATCACACCTTTTTTTTGGTAGAGGGATTGAACTTGGTCCTTGTGCTTGCGGGGCAGGTGGCCTAACCACTGAGCTAAATCCCTGACCCCATCACACTTTTTATTTTTTGGTACCGGGGATCGAACTCATGTCCTTGCGCTTGCACAGCAGGTGACGAAATCACTGAGCTAAATCCCTGGCCCAGATCACACTTTTTTAAGGCAAGGTCTCACTGTGTAACCCAGGCTGGCTCTGAACTCCTAACAATCCTCCTGCCTCGGCCTCCCGAGTGCTGGGATTACCGGTGTGCACCACCATGCTCGGTTTATATCTTGATCGTTTTTACTCCTCCTTCCCCCGTCCTCCTCCAAAGCCCTTTCTCATCCACATAGAGTCTGCTCCCTCTTTCCTACCATCTCTCTTTCATTTTGCTCTTTAAATTATTTATATTTTGGGTTTCTCATCTTACAGCTACCATTCAATATTTCACCTTCTGTATCTGATTTATTTCACTTACCCTTGTGGCCTTGAAATCCATCTATTTGGATCTATAGATGGATTATGGCAGAGTAGTGCTCCATTGTGTGTAAACACCACATTTTCTTTACCCATTCATCTGTTGATGGACACACAGGCCACTCCCAAGATTTTGCTAATATGAGCTGTGCTGCTGTAAACATGGCTATGCTGGATCACTATAATGTGATGTCTTTAACTCTTTTGGGAAAGTGTCTAAGACAGGAATAGCATGGTTGAATAGAGTTTCTAGGTTTAGTTTTTGGGGTTTTTGGGGATCTCCACATTGGTTTCCGTGGTGGCTGTACCAGTTTACACTCCCACCAACAGTGGAGCAGGGTTCTCTTTGCCTCGCAGCCCGGCCAGCATTTGCTGTGGTTTCAGTTTTTGATGACAGCCGCTCTGGCCGGGTAAGGTGGACCTCACAGGTGATAAAGCTTTGGACCAGCACAGCTGCCAGGAGCAGGGAAGAAATGAATGCAAGCCCACATAATCACCATGGCTGCCACACCACATCACCAAGGAGCAACAGACCCCTGTGTCAGTGTAGACCTGGGCCGGGTTCCAGCTCACGCTGATGTGAGATGACTCATCATAAGAAGCCCTGCACGGGCATGGTAAAGAAATGGAAACAAAATAGCCTCAGGGCAGGGAGAGTGAAGGGATGGGGGCTACAGAGGAGGTAGAGTACATCTGTTGTGTGAATTTTACTGTGTGTGTGCATGTGTTGAGGCCTTAAACTCACTATGTAGCCCAGGCTGGCCTCAAACTTGTGGCAATTCTCCTGCCTCAGCCTCCTGAGTGCTGGGATTAAAAAATCTGTTATAAAGGCTGTGTACGCTGAGGCTGGGGATGTGGCTCACCAGTACAGCACATGTTTAGCATCCCTGGATCCCTGGGTTCAGTCCACAGAAACATAGTGCAGACAGTGCATATGCAGTTCAGACTTAGCAATAAGACTCCATGAATCTGTTGGTCAAAGTAGGTTTTGCTCTAGGAATACTCTCAAAGTTCAGTGATTTACCCCGACAGATGTTCATTTTATTTTACTTTGTGTTGACGAGGTTTGAACACAGGGTTGAGCTGCACCCCCAGATCTTTTAGTTTAAAAAATTTTGGAACAAGACCTTGCTAAATGGGTAGACTGGGCTCAAACTTTCGGTCGTCCTGCCTCAGCCTCCCAGCATGCTGGGATCACAGGCGTGCGCCCCACACCCGGCTAACCACGCTCCTCTCAAGTGTGCTGTCTGCACGCAGCCAGCGCCGGCTTGCGTCACGCAGTCCCCCGGGGCTGCCGGACACTCCTTGCCGTCGCCCCAGACCAAAGGCGGCCGGAGCGAAAGGCCCGGCGGTCTTCCCGCGTGTCGAGGGACACACGTCACTCTCTTCTGCTACCGCCAGGCAAGCCGGGGACCACATTCACCTTCGAAGGACAGGGGACACCGCCCCCAGGAGGAGCAGAGCAGCGGCTGTGGCTGTCACGGTCGGGCTCTCCCGCCGCGCCCTTCCGCGCCCCCCCAGGCTGTCCCCTCGCTCTGTTCCTCTTTGCCGGTTTCCACGCGCGCTCCAGGTCTACACCGCAGGACGCGTGCGGTAGGTCCGGAGCGGCAGGCGTGGCCGCCGGGCCCTGTCCGTGGTGCTGCCCGGCCCCGCCCTTGCCGGCGCCCTCGCCCTGCACGAATCCCGCCAGCGTCCCCGCGCCCGGGCTGCTGCGCAGCCGTTTTTCTCGACGCCGGCTCTCTAAAAACTTGGTAAGCAGAAGAGCCGCATCACTGTCCTCATCAGCCACGCACAGAAGGTGACACAAAAATCCCTCCCGTGCACATAAACAGGGTCTCCTTTTCTGGCGAGGGGTGCTCGGGGGCGAGGGTAGGAGGGGCGCGTCTGAACCCACGCCCGCGTGCGAGACAGCGCTGTGCCGACCCCGGCATCGCCCGGACTGACCGAGATTCCAACAGGGCAGGAAACGCCTTCTCCCGGCAGACCACGCCCGCCAGGCCACGCCCCTCCCCGCAGTGCGCCTGCGCAATGCCTCTACGCAGCTCAAGTCCCGCCCCCATCCAGACCGATCATTGGCCTCGGGGACCGGGCTCGGGCACAAGATGGCTGCCACGCGCCGGGAGTCCCCGAGTCCGAGCGCCCTGACCCCGGAGTCGCGATCCCCGGAGCTGCCGGACCTGGTGAGGGCGAGGAAGGGGCCCAGGCGGGCACTCGAGGCAGTGGAGGTCGCAGGGCAGTGGGCGGGGTCGGGGCGGGGCCTACGAGGGTGGAGCGGGAGTGGACTAGGGCTCGGGCCCTGGGGGCTGGGGTTTAGGGAGGAGCCTATGGGTGGAGGGGCGGGGAGAGGGGCGGGGCCTGATCCTGGGACAGGCGGTCCGGGATTGATTTGCATTACTGGGTGGGGCTTTCAGAGAGGCGGGGCCGTAGGGACAGTCTCTGGCTCGTGAATTCAGGTGAGGTTGAGAAGGTGACCCTGCAAGGAGTGGTTGTGACCGGGACACCAGGTTTGGGTGGGGCTGATTCTGCAAGCAATGCTTCTCTGCTGCCCAAGAGAGGATCCCGGGCGAGAAATGGGTGTTCTGGATGACTTTGGAGTCCTCCACATCCCCCCAACTCGGGCTGGGAGAGTGACCGGGACATCCATTCATTCGACAGGCATTTCGTGAGCTCCTGGCCGGACTCTGTAAGCAGAGCGGTGCCCACGACAGAGAAGCCTTGTGTCCTGTCCTAGCTTGCAGTCCTGCGAGAGGAGAGGGCTGATGAGCGAGATTTCCGTGACACGCTCTAGAAAGGAAATAAAAAGTGAGCTGATAGAGTGGAGGTGGGAGCTAAATTTAGACGACAGCAGGCAGCTGGGTGCTGGCGGATGTTTACAGTGGGGTCAGAGAGAAGCAGGAGCCGGCTCCCGGTGGACGCGAATTGACGTCGGGGGTTTGGAGCTGATGTGGCGGCCGTGGAGGCCGCTCCGGGGAGAAGGGCTGTAGGCAGGAGGAGCCGGGATTCCCTAGGGTTTTCGGTTGTGGAGAGGAGATGCGAATGGGCTTCTGACTCGGGTGGCGGAGGGGTCTGGGCCCCACAGGCTTGGGGCCGGAGAGGACAGCCGCGCCTGGGAAGCGAGGTTCAGTACCGGTCCGCTCCGGGTCCACAGGCTCCTCTTGTCTGTCTTCCGCCCTCGCCAGGTCCTGGTGCCCGATGACGGCCGCCCCGCCACTCCCCCGAGTGACCTCATCGAGATCCAGGTGGTGAAGGTCACGGACACCGCGCTAGTCCCCGGGCCCCCCGAGCCGGGCTACTTCCGCTGCGCTTTGTGCCCAGCCGCCTTCCGGCTGGTGTCCGAGCTGCTGTTCCACGAGCGCGGCCACCTGACAGGCGCGGCCGGCGGCGGGGGCGGCGGAGACCCCAGCCGGTGCCACGTGTGCGGCCACCGCTGCGCCGGGCCTGCCAGCCTGCGAACGCACTACGGCCTGCACACGGGCGAGCGCCCCCGCCCCTGCGCACGCGCCTTCAAGGCCCTGGCGCCCCTGCTGCGGCTCCAGCACCGCCGCGGCGCCGAGCCCGGGCCCTCGCGCGCGCCCCCGACGCGCGCCGAGGCTGCGGGGGAGCCAGGTCCCGGGGCGCCCCCGGAGAGGGCCGAGGCGGTGCTGGCGGCGGCGGCGGCGGGCGCGGCGGTGGGCAAGCCCTTCGCCTGCAGGTTCTGCGCCAAGCCGTTCCGCCGCTCCTCCGACATGCGGGACCACGAGCGGGTGCACACGGGCGAGCGGCCCTACCACTGCGGCGTGTGCGGCAAGGGCTTCACGCAGTCCTCGGTGCTCAGCGGCCACGCACGCATCCACACGGGCGAGCGCCCCTTCCGCTGCGCGCTCTGCGACCGCACCTTCAACAACTCCTCCAACTTTCGCAAGCACCAGCGCACGCACTTCCATGGGCCCGGGCCGGGGTCCCCGACGTTGGTGGCCGAGGTGGCGGGGAGCGCGTGTGAGGCAAGCCACGCCCGGGAGGAGGGGCGCGGGGTCGAGGTTGACCAGTAGCCGGAACAGCCGGCTGAGGGAGTTAACTTGGGAGGTTACAGGGAGAGGTGCGGGGGACCGGGGCAATAGCGAAGGGAGACCAGGAGCAGTCGCCTGCGCAACAGAGCTCAAGGACCAGGTTCTGGACGCCAGAAGCCCGAGCCACGCCTATGTGACACCCAGAGAAGGAGACAAGCAGCCCTGTGGTGCTCGGTAGGACCACGGGGCATTTCAGCGCCCCTTTCGAGTCCCTGGGAGAGACACAGCGTGTCACAAGAGAGGACACTACAGAGAGACAACCAGGTCCACCTCAGCACTCCTGGCCCACCCCTTCACCTGCAGAGTGCTGGGCTGCCTGGGGGACCCCTGGGTGGACCAGGATGGAATCTTTTGCCTACCTCACCAGATTGCACTGGACCTGCGCTGCCTCCCCACCGCAGGCAGTTGCCCATCGGGTGGTGTGTACAGACCAGGATCCCACCACTCAAAGCCAGAGGGTCCTCAAGTGACTCGAGCTGAGAGCACTGAGGACCTGGGCCTGTTCCAAGGGTCACTGCTTCCCACACCCCCAGGCTGGTCCCTCCTTAACCCATTGCAGCCCCCTCTTCCGACACAACTAAGAGTGGGCCCAGCAAACAACCACCTACCACCCTTCCTGAAACGGTATCAGTCTGTGGTCCCCACAGCTACAAAGGAGCCTCAGGTTTCTCTAATTTCCTCCACTTGGAATTTGAAGCAGGCAGCTACTGCCCGAGCCCAGACAGTTCTAAAAAGGGCAGGTCCGTGGGAGCATAGACTGGCCTGGGTGGGGTCAAGAGGAGGCGGGAGCCTCCAGTCTCTGGTTCCTATTAAAGGACTGTCTGAGGGTTGCTCTCATCAAGCTTGCATCCTGGTGGTCTGCTCTGGGGAGGTGTGGGGACGGCCACTCTGGTCTTGCCACCAGCAGCAACTTGCACTGGGCTCTGGCCAAACCTAAGATTGGGGGTGAGATGGTGCACCCCATCATCCCCAGCTACCTGGGGGTGTCTCAGGTTCCAGGCCAGCCTGGGCAACTCAGGGAGACCCCATCTCAGAAAAAAACCCCAAAAAGGGTGAATATGCTCCTCAGAGATGTCCCCTGTTTCCTACGTGGGGAAGGATGTGGGCAGGGAGGTGTGGTACAAGAAGGGACACCTGGACAGCCAGGCTTCTGGAAGGGAAGAGCCCCTGAACTGCTCATGGAGACAGTGGGCCAGTGTTACCCTGCACACCCAGCATGCAGGAAGCAGCTCCCAGATGCCGCAGAACGGGACCAAGGTCATTCCCTTTCCCCCAGGGAATGTCCATGCTCCAGCCTCGATGGCAGGGCTACAGTGCTTCCTTTGCTTCTTCCTCATCTACTCCTCAATTTCCTGGTGTTCAGCAGATTTTTCTTTTTCTTTTTTTGAGGGGGGCCGGAGGGTACTGGGGATGGAACTCGGGACCTTTCGCTTGCAAAGCAGGCAGCGGAACCACTGAGCTAAATCCCTGGCCCTTCAGTAGTAGATTTTTCTTCACTACTGCCCTGCAGGCCAAGCCAACAGGGTAACCATGGCAGCTCAATTCTCCGGCCTGCTTTCTCCATTCTCCCACACTGTCATGTGTCCTTGTCACCAACCCATAGTTCCTGTGGCTTTGAGGAGGGGTCACAAACCTGAGCACCCACAGGAGTGGGCGGCAATGTAAATGAAGTGTTGCAGTGGAGGGGAAATAGCAGTGAGGTAAAACAGGGCAAAGGAAGCTTGGGCTCAACAAGCAGTGGTGGCAGATTGGAGGGTGTGTGCCCCATCAGAAAAGCACAGCAGCTGCCCGGCTGCCATGGGGTACAGACTGGGTTCCTAGTTCTTCCAGTTTTCACAAGTCCCAGTAGTTCATATATCATGGGGAAGGGCCAGGGATGTAGCTCAGTGGTGCCACGCCTGCCTGGCAAGGGAAAGGTCCTGAGTTCGGTCCTGAGTGCAGGGGTGGGGGGGCATAGATCATGAAAAATCTTTTTGGCCTGGAGCATGCTGTGCACGTGTTCTGCCACTGAGCTACATCTCCAGGACTCCAGATCTTTGTGTTTAAAGGACAGACTGTACCAAAGTGTTTCACTCTCATCCAGCCTGGCAGATGCTGCTTTCCAGCTTCCTATCTACAAAGTCTTCCAAGTCCTACAACATGGAATTCAAGACCCTGCAAGATCCAGCCACACCCCCTCAGCCACCAGCCATACTCATTGTTAAAAATTCTCCAGAATAGCTGGATTGGGTTGAGCACACCAAACCCTCTGCCTAGAGTTGCTTGCCCACTTTCCCTGGCAAGCTCCTGTGGTGATGTCATTGTTCAGGCATCACTGTGTCCACACACTTCCTAGCTGTCTCCCCTTCTGATAAGGTGACTGCCCCTCCTTCCCTCGCCACACAGGGATGCTTCCATGTCTCTTAGGTTGACGCAGCTCCACTTCTGCATGACTTGGGAGCCCTGGAGTGTGGGCAGGAGGCCTGTGTCCTGGCCGGTCTGCAGAGCAGGGAGTGGCCATGGCGGGCTGGGGCCCTCTCATGTCACTCCGCCTGCCCAGTGAGAGCTGTGAAGGGGCGACAGTACTAGCAGGGCATGTGCCAGGAGCAAGCTGTAATACATGAGTGCACCAGGCTGTGGTATCTGGATGGGCTTCTCCTCTGGTTGCTGAGGGTGAGGCTGTGTCCAGTTTACTTCCCCAGTGCCCGACTGGGACCTAGCAGACAGACATCTGGGAATGGCCACTGAGTGAGCAAACTCCGGCAGAGGGGAGGGAATCCAGGCTCTGCCAGTCCCAGCGGACTTACCTGTCTCATCCACCTCTGTTTGCCCAACTCAGGGCCCCGGGTGTGGAATCCGGTAACTCTGAAAGGCAGGAGGCAGGAGGGCAGGAGGTCAGACCAGATCCTCCAGGAAGCTAAAGGCCCCAACCTGTGTTCTGCCAACACTTAGCTCCACTCTCCCTGGGGTGCAAGGACAGACGTCAGGGCCCTGTTGTTAAGATTTATTGTTCTCTGCTCTGTACAAGCGGCGTCTACCACCCTGACCCCCAACCCCACAATGCAAAAGCACTCCCTCCTGCAGTCCCAGCTCTGCATGTCCCACTGCCTAGCCAGGCTCAAAAGGAAAGGGGTGTTCAATTCAGCTCCATCTCCATCAAAGAGCTCCCTGGGGCGGAGGCGGGGGGAGGGGTCACGAGAGGGATGGAAAGAGCCAAGTTCAGGGTCCGGTTGGACAGGGAAGGGCCGAGAACCTGGAGGGTGATTCAGTCTGGAGTCCGCAGGACCTGGGCCCTGGGGAGGCCAGGCAGTCTGAAGTTCTGAAGGATGGGACAGAGACGGGGAACAGTCCGACAGCAGCCCGGAGAGGAGCAGTCCAGGGCAGACACGAGATCACGTGGGGAAGCAGCCCGGTCAGGCGTCCTTCCCGGCGAGGGCCCCAGCCCCCGGCGCTCCGAGGCCGTCGGCCTTGTGCACCAGGCGGTGCTTCTTCAGCCCGTAGGTGTTGGAGAAGCCCTCGCCGCAGGAGGAGCAGCGGAAGGGCCGGCCACCCTGGTGGGCCGCCAGGTGCTTGCGAAAGTAGCCAGGGTCTTTGAAGGCCTTGAGGCAGGCGGGGCAGCGCAGCTCGGGCCGCGGCGGCTCGTGGGCACGCTGGTGGCGCAGCACGGAGCTCAGGTAGAAGAAGCCCTTGCCGCAGTGCTCGCAGCGGTAGGCTCGCTCGCCCAGGTGCAGCCGCTGGTGCTCCAGCAGGTTGGAGCGGTAACGGAAGGTTTTGCCACACGCACCGCAGCGCTGGGGCCGCGCCACAGCATGCAGCCTGCGGTGCTCGGCCAGGCTGGACGACTGCGCGAAGCGCTTAGCACACACACCGCACTTGAAGGCGCGCTCGCCGGTGTGCACCACGCGGTGCTGTCGCAGGTACCAGGAACGCAGGAAGCCCCGGCCGCACACGCCGCACCGGTAGGGCCGCTGCTCCGTGTGGCAGCGCTGATGGCGCATGAGCAAAGCTGCCTCCCAGAAGCGCTTCCCGCACACTGGGCAGCGAAAGCCGCGCTTCTGGCGGTGGCTGCGGCGATGCAGGAGCAGGTCGTAGGCGCCCGCAAAGCTCTGGCCGCAGAGGCCGCAGCCCAGGGTCCGCCGCACCAGGTGCACGTACTTGTGCGTCACCAGGCCCAGGAAGTGCTTGAAGCTCTGGCCACACGTGGCGCAGCTGAAGCGTTCTGGACCCGCGCCCGCGCCCGCACCGGCCCCAGCAGAAGCGCCGCCCGCGTCCTCGCCCCCCGACACCCCGGCCAGGGCCGCCACAGCTGCGCCCACCTCTCCAGCCAGCCCGTTGTCCAGTACACTGGCCGCGTCGGTGCCACCCGAGCTCTCTGCGGGCTGGGGACCAGTGGGCAGCAAGCGCTCGGGGGCGGCCTGATGCACCAGCTTGTGCCACATGAGGTTCTCGATGAAGCCGAAGGTCTTGCCGCAGGCGTCGCAGCCGTAAGGTTTCTCGGACATGTGCGCCTCCTTGTGGCTCATGACGTGGAAGAGGTCGGGGAAGTGTTCGCCGCAGTCCGAGCACGCGTAGCTGAGCGCATCGGCGGGGCCCGCCCCCCCAGCGCTGGAGGCCCCGGCTCCGCAGGCTCCCGGGGCGCCTTGGGCAGCTGGCAGCCCGGCGGCCCCAGCCAGGGCGCAGGGCAGCTGCAGCCGGTGCACCTGGCGGTGGCGCGTGAGGCTCTGCGGGTAGCCGAAGACCTTGCCGCAGAGCTCGCACTTGTAGGGCCGCTCGCGCGTGTGCACCACGTGGTGCTTGCTCAGGTGGAAGGACTCGCGGAAGCGCTTCCCGCACACCGGGCACTGGTGCGGCTTCTCGCCCGTGTGGATCCGCTCGTGGCGCTTCAGCGTCTCACGGCGGCCGAAGCCGCGCCCGCAGATCCCGCAGCAGAAGGTCTTTCCAGCCGCGCCGCCCGCACCGCCTGCACCACCCGCGCCCCCGGCCCCCGGCCCCCCGAGCAGCAGCGGGTGCGCGCCCAGCAGTGGCACGGGCACAGCGCCGTACACCACGGCCGCGGCAGCAGCTGCCGCCGCCTTCTCACTGTCGCCCGCGGGCGGCTCCGTGGGCAGCAGGTAGGGGCCGGCGGGGAAGGCAGGCGCGGGCGGCGGGACGGCCGAAGCCGCCGAGTCCTTGGGCGCCTCGGGGGCAGCGGGTGGCGCATGCGCGGCCTTGTGGCGCAACAGGCTCTGCGGGGCCGAGTAGGACTTGCCGCACAGGTCGCAGGCGTAGGCCGGCCGCGCCCCCGCCCCCGCCCCCGCGTGTGCCGCCTGGTGCTTGAGCAGGTAGGCGGCGTCGCGGAAGGCCTTGCCGCACACGCCGCAGGGCAGGCGCAGCAGGTCGGCTGAGTGCGTCTTCACGTGCCGCTTGAGGCTTTCGCGCCGGTTGAAGCTCTTGCTGCACACAGAGCAGGAGAAGGGCTTCTCGCCCGTGTGGATGATCTGGTGCTGGTGCAGGTGGCTGGGCTTCTTGAACACCTTCCAGCACAGCGGGCAGGCGAATGGGCCATCTCCACCCGCGCTGGCCGCAGGGGGCCCGGGGATGCCCGCAGGGGTGGGGGTGGCACTGCCATCGGCTGGGGGTGCGGGAGCGGGCCCCACTGGGGCAGGGGTGACACCTGCAGCGGCACCGGTGGGGAGGCCCAGTGGGGCCGCGAGTGGAGCACCAGGGGGCGCCGGCGGGGCCCCCGCGGCCGGCGTGTCCTTGTGGCAGCGGCGGTGGCGGATGAGGCTGGACACGTGGTTGTAAGTGCGGCCGCACACGCCGCACTCGTAGGGCCGCTCGCCCGAGTGCACGAGCATGTGCTGCACCAGGTGCGAGGACTGCTTGAAGGATTTCTGGCACACACCACAAGGGAAGCGCCGCTCCATCAGGTACTTGAGCCGCCGGAAGTAGCCTTTGTCGTCCTTGGCGGGGTCGCAGGCCGCCCCCGTGGCGGCGGGGCCAGGTGGGGTCTGTGAGGGCGCGGGCAGCGGCCCCGGGGTCCCCGCGGGTGCACCAAGACCGGGCGCCACGCCCGGCCCTGCCGCCGGCCCGCCGCGCTTCAGGTTCCCGAACAGGTGCTGGTGGCCGGAGAGGTCCACGATGCCCCACTGCGGGGCAGGGAAGGCGGCGTCGAAGAGCGGGGGTGGGGGTGCCCCAAAGGCGGGCGGCAGCGGCGGGTCGGGCTTCTTGGCTGGGGCGGAGGAGGTGGAGGACGAGGAAGAGGAGGAGGTGGAGGAGGAGGAGGAGGAGGAGGAGGAGGAAGCTGAGGATGGCGCCTCGGCCTTGGGCTTGAAGCTGGCCGGTGGCGGGTAGTCGAACTGCGGCGGCGGGGGCTGCGGCGGCGGCGGCGGCGGGGGGCCCGGGGCGCAGGGCAGCGCAGCCACGGCCTTGGCGTGCTCCCCGTATAGCTCCATGGGCTCGAAGCGCTGGTGGTTGAGGAACTCCAGGAAGTCGAAGGGGTAGCTCTGGAAATGCACGCCATCCTCGCCCCCCAGGCCGCCGTTCCCGCTGCCCCCCGCTGGGTTCGACTCCATCTCAGCGGAGCTGGGAGACCCTGTGAAGAGAGGCGGGGCTGAGGACGGGCGGGGTGCCCTCCCCTTCCGCTCCAGCTTCCCGAGGTTGCCAGCCTAGGCGCGTCACACCGTCAACGCTGCAGACCCGAAAGCTTCTTCTACTCTTTGGAGACACAGGGAGGCCAAAGGCCTCCCTCAGGATCACAGAGCAGCAGTCTTTTCTATTTTGGAGGTCTGAGGGTTCAACACAGGGTTTGCATGTGCCAGGCAACTGCTCTACCACTGAGCTCCATCCCCAGCCTCTCCACTTTTATTTTGAAACAGGCTCTCACTGAGTTGCCAAGGCTGGCCTGAAACTTGAAATCTTCCTGCCTCAGCCTCTGGCGCAGCTGGGATTACAGGTGTGCACCACCACACCTGGCTCAGAACAGCAGGCTGTAATGGAGCAACTGGCACCTCCAGCCAGGAGACCACTCGCCTCTCCCAACGCCCTCGGGTGTTTCCCCTCATAGAGGAAGGAGGAGATGGAGCCAGGAGGCAGGTGACTCATCTAGGGGTGCTCCCCGAGTATGAGGGGCTCATACTAGGGACCTGGTGGAAGGGGGTGGTGGATATGGCCGTAAACACACAATGGATTCTTCCCTCTGCTGGGAATGTTCATCCCCAGACTCGAGCCCCTTCCTGAGTGCACTTCCGGTCCCCACTTGGGACCCCAGCACTTTCCAGCCCAGCATCCGCTGAACTCTCATGGCAGTTAACCACCACCACCTTTTCTGCTCTGCAGTACTGGAGACTGAACCCTAGCCTTTGCCCTGAGCTTTATCACCAGCCCGATTTTAGTTTTTTGAGACAGTCTCACTAAGTTTTCCAGCCTAGGCTTGAACTTCCGGCCTCTCAAAGTGTACGATGACAGGTGTGCACCACTGACTCACTCATTTCTTCACCATGTGTCTCCTGGCTGTCACTAAGAGCAAGGCTCTGGCCTGCCTTGTCCAGTGCCTGCTCACAGATGTTTGCTGATGTGCAGAAACTAAACACCACCTTCCTAAACCTTGGAAGGGACCATGGAGTAGCCACAGGGAAGTGAGGAAACGCTCCGTGATGGATGAGAACAGAGCCTCGCCCTAGGAAGCTAAGGCGGCAGCTAGGGCAGTGCCTGGGTGGGATTCACAGTCGCCAGTGCCTGCACTCATGGGTGTTGTGCAGCTTGTGACTGGATGAGACTCTAGGGAAGGACCCCAGTGGGGACATTTAGTAGGGATGCAGCTGATGTGAGGTGCCTGCCAGGACGAGGAACTCTGGGGACAGTGGAGGCATGAGAAGGGTACTGAGACAAGGGCCAGAGGCAGGACGGGGTGTTTGGGCAAATTTCCAGAGAACCAGGACAGGTCCTCTTAGGGGATTCGACCCTTGAGTTGCTGTCTTTCTAAGGGAAGACGCCTAACAGGGTTTTACACAGAGTGGCACAACCAGGAGAGAGGTGCTCCTGGGGCGGGAGTAGTTCCCGGAAAACAGCACAGCGAAAGCTTCCACCACTCCCATCTGTTGTCAGGCATCTGATGTGTGCCCCTCCCTTGTGCCACGAAGGAGAAGCAGGTGTCTGATGCCAGGGGTCTGTGAGCTCTTCGGGGCCACAGAGCTTCCTGGTGCAGCAACTGCAGCCTATCGGTGGTGGTGACAGTTACAGTCCTGGAGGGTAACCTGTAGCACTAAATGCCCATACCTAATCCTCCCCACAACCCGGGGGAATGCTCACCATTACTGTCTGAAACCCCGAGGAAGGACGGGCCCTAGGGTGGGAGGGTGACTCAGTCTCCAAAGCCACACAGCAGGCAGCGAGTTCGAGTCTGTGCTCCTGTCCCTAAAACATGCTGTACAAAATACCAAATGCCTCCGTCTTCCAACACACATGGAGCTATGACCTCCAAATCCCGAGTCTGTGGGTGAGACCCAGGGCCAGTATGAAAGGCTGTGTGGGTGCTGAGGTGGCTCGTCACATTCAGACTGCTAACAGACTCAGGTGTGACTGCTCCCTTATAGACACAGGACCAAGACCAAGCCACGGCCCCTCTGCGCACAGCCCTGCAGTGTCCCCGTCCCACTGAGTCAAACCCGTCCTCCAGTGTGCTGGCTCGCATCGCTCCTGCCTTTGTCCGGGGCCCTTGCTCCTGCCCTGGAATGCTCCATGCCCTGTGCCACCCCTGCTCTCCCTTCTTCCTGTCTTTGCTCACCTGTCCTCTCAAGGGGCCCTCAGTAACCCCCACCTGTCCCCCAGGCCCACGAACCTCCCCTGTCTTCATTCCTCTCATTACCACCCGGCATAATCTAAGGGCCGTGGATTCTGGTTCCTGTCCAGTCTGCTGCTCTCCCTCTCCAGGGTGAGATTTTTATGTCTGGGTCACTGCTTGGTCCCTATGACCTGTGATGGTGCCTGGCTTGATACGTGTTTGTGGGATGAGGCTGAGCATGGAAGGACTGGTTTGCTGGAAGATGAGCCCCAGTAGAATCCGGGGCTCCATCACAGTACCCCTGGAGGGCACAACTGTTCAGAAGACGGGAAATTGACACTTAGAGCTAACTGCTGCTTCTGTGGTTTATTGGAGGGGCAAGAAGACGAGTGTGTCGGGTGAGGCCTTCCTGGCAGCCCAGCCCCGGCCCGATCCCTCACCCCACTGTAGTTGGCTTCACACTCGCTGAAGTACTCTGACCTTTCTTCGCCTCTCTCCCAGCACATCCACTCTGCGTAGACACAGGGCTCTGCCTACTGTTGTCTGTAGCGTCCCCGGGCGCTTGCAGCTGTTGAACACCCATTTATGAATGAAGGCAAAGGTGCTCGCTTGGGCAGCACAAGTACTGAGAGTGGAGCGATACAGAGAAGTGTGAGTGAAGGTGAAGAAGCCCTGGGCTTGGCAGAACTGACAGTGCCCAGAAACTCTGCCGCAGGCCTTGGAGACGACGCCTTCCCGCGGCTCGGGGTCCCCTTCAATCTGCCCCTCCACTCATCATCGTCCCCGCCACCTCCGGGCCTTGGCACTTGCTGTCCCAATTTGTTCCCCCAGCTCTCTGCATGGATAAGGTAGCTCTCACACAGGCTGCCCCTCTGAAGTTCACTAGCCTCGCGCAGAACCCGCACAGGGTGGTGTTATCTCCGCCGCCTCAGCTAGACGGTAAGACCCGGGAAGATGAGACTGCATCTTTGCTTCACAACTCTACGCCCTAGACTAGAACAGTGAACACGCACTTGGTAAACAATAAATGCCTACGAGGAAGGGTGAGCCACACGCCCGTGGAGCGCAAGGGTCTCTCCTAGGAACACCAGGGCCGGGCCAGGATAAGTGGCCAGCGCCAGGAAGAGGGGTGCCGCGCAGAGGGCGCTGTTCCGGGGCAGCAGTGCTGAAGACACAGGGGCCGGGGCCCAGCAGGCCACTCTGCCGCCTCCCGAGGGACAGGATGTGGGTATTAAGAGAAGGAGCGCTAGAGGGAGCTCCTCCACTGAGGGGGGTGTGAAGGGGTGCCTTGAGAATCGCCAAGGAGGTTGCAGGAGGGGAAAAGACATTCCTGGTATGGACCAGAATAAAAGCATTTTTCACCAACAAAGGGGTCTCTGGGGGCGGCTCGTGTATGGACAGAGAGTAGGGGGCAGTTCGGGCGCAAAGCACTAATGCACCTCTCCCGGGAACCATCCTTTAGCGGGGGGACTCGGCCCCTGTAATGGGTTCAGCAGCAGCTGCCCTAGGACGGGGAGCGATCCTGGTGTCACTGGCGGGGGGGGCTGTCCTGCACCAAGCAGCAAGGGGCTATGTGCAAGAGATCCCAAGAGAAAGCATTAGTGGGAGCCCTGGCAGTTGGGCCGTCACGAATGGGGGCGCTTTGCAGGCGTCCACCCTGGGCTGCCCACAGGCAAAGACTGAATGGCCTTATGGAGAGCAGCGGTTGGGGTCCCCTGGCTAGGCCCGGCGGAGGCACTGGCGCTGAGGGGCGTCCCGGGGACCGCTGCAGGCCAGGACGGGGCCCCCCGCCCCCGCTGTCCCCGGGCCGCGCGCCCGTCACTCACCGGCGCCGGGGTCTCCGCCGGGAGGAGGCCTAGGAGGCGGAGGAGGCGCCGCCGCTCCGGGGAGACCCGAGACCCCGACCGGAAGTGCCGCCCCCTCCCCCTCCTCAGCAGCCCCGCGCCGCCCGCCCGGAAGCGGAAGTTGCTCCCGTTCCCGAGGCGCCGGCGTGGAGGCTGCAGAAGAGGTGGCGGTGGCGGAAAGAGAGAGGAAGTGCGCCTGCGCACCGTGTGGCGCGTGCGGGCGGGGAAAGCTGAGGCTGCTTCCTGTAGGCAACCGCCCGCAAGTGCGCCTGCGCTGTGTGCGCCTGCTGCCTCTTAGGGCTCCGCCCACAAGCCCTGGACATCCGGTGGAGGCACACCCTGGGCTCGGGTCCCACGCTAGAGCCCCGCCCCCTTGTGGGAACCACGCCCACTCCATAGATTAATGTTTTCGGCTCCACCCCTCTAGAAAATCTGTCCCCTTCGCTCCATCCCCGCAGTTTCTCCTTCCCTCTCTCCAAGCTCCCATTCTCTGGAATTCAACCCTTCCTTCCAGGCCATGCCCCTTAAGCCCTGCCTCTCCAAGCTACTTAAACTTGCCCGGCCTCTCGTACTGCAACTCCGCCCCCCGTAGCATTTAAACTGTACCTCTCCTAACTTGCATGCTGTACAGGTAATTCTGCCTCGCACCTCTAGAGCATTCCCTTATGTCAGTGCTTCTCGGAACGTGGTCCAAAAGCAGTTTCCAACACCCTCTCTTCTAACTCACCTCCACCGCAGTGAGCTAAACCCCGCCTTCAGAGCTCCTCCTACCGACCTCTGCCTTTCCCGGGCACCTCCTTCCCTCCCTCCCCAGGAGCTGATCAGCAATCACGCCCACCCCTGCACACCCGCACTTTCTCCCGACAGTCACACCCCAGCTGTCCTGGTCGCGGCCTTTCCTACGTCCCTCCTTCAGCCCAGCCCCTCAGCTCAACCCCATCCATCCCCTCTAAATCCCTTTCTGCTGGCCTGTACTACAGCTCCTTGAGCCCTGCCCAAGCCTTACCCCTTTCCAAGCCCTGTCCTAACCTCACCTAACTATCCATAAAGCTTCCACCATTTGGCTCAGCCCCAGCCTGTGCAGGGATCTAAACCCTACTGCTCTCCTTCAGTTTGCATTTCTGTATTGGTGCTGGGGAAGGAACATGCTACCACTGAGCAACACCCCAGCCCTGAGACTCCGTTTTCCTTGCAAATAGTGGGTCTTCCCCCCAAGGAATGGGACAAGTGTCAGGCGTGGAGTTTCTGGGGATCGGGCTCGGGTGCCGTGGGTGCATGTTTGCAGAGCAGGGTCAGTGCTTTACACAGAAAATGGCTATTTATTGGGAGCGCTTGGGGTCTAGTGGGGCTGAGCTGACGAGCGGCACCATCAGGAACACACACGGGGCCAGCAGGCAGGCTTTATTCCCACAGCCTGTGCCTCCACGGGCTGGTGAGTCCGCGGGCCGGTGCCAGGACGCAGCAGCACCCAGACACGTAGACCCCCGCCCTTGGCCCTCTCCCATGGCAGGTGGACCAGCAGGAACCGGGGTGCCCTGGCCTCCGGGCCCAGGCCCAACCCCAACCGAGCTCCGGGCTGCAAGCCTGAACCGGGGGCCGGGGGCCGGGGCCGGAGGTGCGGGTCAGGCGGGCTCGTTCCCCTCGGAGCCCTCCTCGTGCGCTCCCTCGGTGGCCGGGATGCCCTCATTGTCCCACGGCGGCTCTGGCCTCGGGTCCGGGCGACACACGGGCAGCCCCAGGGCCTCGGGGTGCTTGCGCTTGGAGTGACGCCGAAGCGTGTTGGCCTCGGTGAAGCGCAGACGGCACACGGGGCACTGGTAGGGGCGCTCGCCCGAGTGCACGCGGTGGTGGTGCGCCAGCTCGCCGGCCTCGCGGAAGCGGCGCGGGCACAGAGCGCACAGGAAGGGCCGGAGCCCCGCGTGGATGTTGCAGTGTCGCCGCAGGTGGCTGGACCGCTTGAAGGTCTTGCCGCAATCCTTGCACTCATGTGGCTTCAGCTCCGAGTGCGAGATGCTGTGGCGCTCCAGGTCGGAGAGGTAAGGGAAGGCCCTCAGGCACACAGGGCAGAAATGCGGGGCCCTCCGAGGGCCGGAGACCTGAGGCCCAGCGGCCACCGAGCCCTCCGAGACTGTGTAGGGCACGCCCTGGTCATCGATCAGCAGGAGGTCGCTGCCTCCTTCGCCGTCGCCGCTGTCCACTGCAGCTGCCGGCAGCCCCTGTGCCAGCGAGAGCTCGGGCCCTGACTTGGGGGGTCGGCCCCGCTTTCGGGGAAGCGAGGACTTGAGCTTCCGGTGACAGGAGGCGGCACCCCCCGGAGGTCGCCCTCGGCGGCCCCGGGGCACAGGAGGAAGTAAAGCCTGAGGCTTCTCTTCCTCCCCGGGCAAAGGTGAAGAAGGCAACGGGCCTGGGCTGGGGGTGTCCATGGAGCAGTGAGGGGCTTGGGTCTGGGCACCGGATCCAGCTAAGAGGAGAGAGGGGCAGCGTCAGTTCGTGCAGGACTGGGACACCTGTGTCCCCTGCATCTGACCCACCCGTCTCTCCGAGTCTCTGGACCTGGGTATGAGTAAGACTCACCCAGACGCACGATCACAGCCGCTGCTGGGCAACACAGCAAGCTGATCGGTAGCAGTTGGGAAACGGGACACTAGGTGGCCCTGCGCCTCCCTAGCTCGGCCCCTGCCCGAATCTAGTAGTTCAAGGCCAACAGGAACAGAAACAAGGAAAAACAGGCAGAGGGAGTGTGCAGGCCTTCAAACAGCCCATCAGACTCCAGCCAGAGCCTCAGAAGCCCTGGGAATGTTCTTGTTCCCTCCTGATTGGCAGAAGCGGAGAAGAGGTTCAGGACTGAAGACAGGGACGGGCCCGGGGAGGAGTTCGGCCCTAGTTCGTGCCTGAGGAAATATATGCAAGTCTCGGAACAGAGCGTCTAGCCTCCAGGTCGGACATCCTGGCCTGTCACCTGCTCTGTGTGTGGCCTCGGACAAAGCATTGACTCCTGTGAGCTCAGTTAAATCTTTCGCAAGGCGGTCCTTGGTGCTCCCCACTCGCCCAGGCACGTCCCGGGAATAATCCACATCAACTGTCCACACACAGACGGCCAAACGCGCCGCGTCAGAAGCCTCACAGGGAGTAAGCTCGAGCCAGCGCTCTGAGGGTACACCTGTCCCGTTTTAAAAACGGGGACACCGACGCAAGGGAAAGCCGAGTCAGTGGCTCGAGTTCCTTCTACCAATGAGTGGCAGGGCCAAGACTTCATGGTCTTGCTGATCCCCGTGCCCCAGGGAAGGAGAAATGGACCCAAGCCAACGGGACATCAGGAGGGCTCTCAGGCCTGGGCTGAATTAGCAAGTTCTCCTCTGTGAAACCGATATGCCTAGGCGGTGCACAAGTCTGGGATGCAGTAAGCACTGCAAGACCCACCGCCACCAGCACCTTCGCAGCGCGTACTAGACCAGTGATAGCGAACCTTTCAGAGACCCAGTGCCCACCCTGCAACCCCAAACCCACTTATTTATTGCAAAACGCCGACACAGCAGTTAACCCGGAATGCTCGGCTGCCGGGGCGATTTGGAGTGCCACAGGTTCGCCACCTCTGCACTAGAGGCTGGGCGCTGGGAACCAGGGGTGCACGGATGGGAGCATACGGCCAGCCTGGGGAGTGCTGCAGGCCCCCGCATGCCCTTTTAGACTGTGTTTTGGGGCTTGCGAGCGCGTGGTGCTCCGACGCAGCTCCTGAGCGTGCCGGGGAAGCGCCGCACCTCTCTCAGGGGCACAGAGCCGAGGGCAGAGGGACACCCTTTCCATGGCCAGTCGCTTCGCTCCCGGGGGTACCCAGGCTGGGTCTCTGGAGCACGGGGAACCGGGCAGCCCTACCCCTCGTGGGTCTCCCACACGCGTGCGGGCGCGCCCCCAGCGGCCCCGAGCGGCGGCGCCCACGCGCGGGGCGGGCCCTGCGGGGGCGACGTCCAATGAGCGTCGCGGGGCCCGCGGGCAGCGAGGGCGCCAAGAGGGGGTCTGCGCGCGCGAGCCCGGCCGACTCTGCGGGGCGCGCGCGGCCCCGGGCCGCCCCTCCCCCACCCCGCCCGGCCCCCCGCCCCTCGGGTACCTCATTTGCATGCCGCCTGGGCTCGCGAGTGTGCGCGCGCGGGGGGCGACGGGTCGGCGCGCGGGAGGGGAGGGGGTAAGGGGGCCCTGCCCCTCGGCGGCAGCGGGGCGCGCGAACTCGGCCCCGCCCCTCGGAGCAGAAGCCGGCGGCCCCGCCCCTCGCCGACGCCCGCGGGGAACAAAGGGGCCGCGATGGGTCCTAGGGACCGTCTGGATTCATGCAGGGCCAGGCACCTGCCCACCAGTCATCTTCGTTTGCCCCTGGGGCACATAACCTCCCACCATATTCCCAACCACATGAAATGCCTTTTCTCCCACAAAACACCCAACCGGGCGACGCAAACACAGATATAGACTAGACGAGAAATGGGAAATGGCTGCTAGGTGCCCATAACTGACATGGCGCTCGATAGCTTCGCAGTCCCCCGGGCGCTAATTGTGTAAAATGGTGCCTGGTCTTTTTTGTCCTTGAATTGCAATATATGCACTTCGACTGCTCTCGTCCCTCCTGATGCAGCTCGACGTCCTACGCAGAAGGAGTATGAAGGTGAAAAAAAAATCATAGTTGGCCAGCGTCGAGCGGACAGCGAGAAGCCCCGCGCTGAGCTTGTTGCCCTTAGTCTTCCTGGCGCCAAGATGGCCCTAAGCCCCACCCTTTGCCCTCATCCAAAATGGCGCCAGTCTGGCTTCACTCACCTCCAGGACTGGGACGCGAAAGTAAAAGAGAAGGGGGGGTGGAACGAGGGAGCTTAGAGGGCGGGATAAAGGGGGAGTGCGGGGGAGGGGGGGGAACCGAGGCGGAAGTCGAGGGGCCCCCTGGGTGGAAGTGACGCTGCCCCCGCTGCCCAAAATGTCGGCGCCCAGAGGGAGGTGTAAGTAATTAAAGAGAAAAGCGGACTGACTTCCCCGGCCTCCCGGGGCCGCGCCAGGTCTCCAGGTCCTCCACTCCGCAAGAGCGAAGCGGGCTCGTCGGTCCCCAGCCCTCTTAGCCTGGCCCTGCCCCGGGCTCCCGGGGCTTCACCTTTTACGGACAGGGGGAGGGGCACAAAAGCCTGGCTTGGGGCCTGGGTCCTCGTGCGGACTGGGCGGGGGGGGGGGGGCCGCCACAGTCCGCGAGATGCAGGAGGGGGCGGGGCCTGGGCTGGGAGGAGCTGTGGGGCGGGGCTTGGTGGGGTGGTGCTGTGTGGAAAGTGGGAGGGGTTTGTGTTAATGGGTGGTGCTTTGAGTGTGGGGCGGGGCTAACAGTGTGGTGGGTGTGGCCTGGGTTGCAAAGTGGAGGGAGCTGCCTTGAGGCTTAGTGGGGAGATTGGAGCGCAGCGGTGAAGTTTGGAGTTAGAGGTGTGTGGGCATTACGGGAGCTGGCTGTGGGGGTAATGGAGAGTTTTAGTGAAACTGTCGTATGAAAAGGCCTGGCCTGAGGGAGCCCAGAAAGCGACTGGAATGGAGTGCAGCGGCTCGTGCAGAGACGGGGCTTATTTGAAGGAAAGATCGGGTAGGAGGTGGAGGCAGACCTCAGTGGCCTGAGGAACTCAGCAAAATTGACAACTTGGAAAGCTTGTGGGTGGAGGCGGCGGCCAGGCGGAATGTAAAGACCGGTAGTGATGCAGAGCTCCAGGGGTCCGCTCCCGATTTTCCCGGGTTCGGGACTTGTCCTCCCTTCCCTAAGTGATCATCGTCAAAGAACAGTAGGGGCGCTCTTGGGGGATGCACACGGGAGTGTAGGGGCTCAGGGAGGGGCCGGAGAGGCGGGACAGCGATGGGAGGTGGTGAAAGCCTGGCGGTGAGGGAATCAGAGGAAGGAGTTTGGCTGGGCGCCTAAGCGCATGCCTGGACTCCCAGCTTCTGGGGAGGCTGAAGCAGGAAGATCTCAAATTCAAGGCCAGACTGGGCAACGTATTAAGGCCATGTCTCAAAATAAAATAAAAAGATGGAGAAGTACCTCAGTGGTAAAAGCACCGAGTCGATCTCCAGTAGGAGAGAGTTTAAAGCGCCAGGGGCGTGGCTTGGGCCGTGGGCGTGGCTCCGCGCGGGAGGGTCTCCGGACACGGTCTGTGATGCTCTCACCACTATCCTGTCTCCTCCCCTCCAGAGAGAGCTCCACCCACGTTGCACCGCGCCACCATGGATGATCCCACGCTGCCGGCGCCTCCGGCCCCAGCGCCCGTCCACGTGCCGGCGCCCCCCGCCGCCACCGCCCCCCGGGTCCCCTTTCACTGCAGCGAATGCGGCAAGAGCTTCCGCTACCGCTCAGACCTGCGGCGACACTTCGCCCGGCACACGGCTCTCAAGCCCCACGCGTGTCCGCGCTGTGGCAAGGGCTTCAAGCACAGCTTCAACCTGGCCAACCACCTGCGCTCGCACACGGGTGAGCGTCCCTACCGCTGCTCCGCCTGTCCCAAGGGCTTCCGCGACTCCACCGGCCTGCTGCACCACCAGGTGAGTCTTGCGCCTTCGGGGTCCCCCCCCCACCCGGCCGCCCCACCAGCCGCGCATGCGCAGTGAGCTCGCGCCTCCTTCATGGGTCCCTGCCTGGCTTTGCTAAGGAGAGGGCTTATCTCATACACAGCACCTCTCCATTCTGCTTCCCCTGGGCTGGCGCCAGGGCTGCAGAGAATCTGCATCTCTGTGAGATGGTAGGAGCCAGGTAGATGACAAACAGACAAGGTTTCAGACAAGCATGTTGAGCCCAGACCAGGAGGAGGTGAGGGAGTCCACGTGGAAGAAATTCCAAGCAGCAGGAACAGCAAGTGCAAAGGCCCGGGGGTGGGAGGAGCTAGGAGTGTTCAGGGAGGAGCTGAGGCGGTAGGGCCTGCCCGTGTACCAGGCACCTCCTGTCTGTGTCTTTCATGGGCACCCACTGTTTAGAGCCCACGCAAGTCAGTGCCCAGGGAGCTCCCTGACCCTTCTGCGGGTCACAGCCTGTGGCCCAGCACCAAGGAACACGTGGAACCACTTAGCACCAGCTGAGTAACAGGCTCTCCAGGGAAGACCAAGGACACATCAGGCACAGTCTGCCACCTGCCACTGTGAGGGAGCCCCTGACCAGCGGGCTGGGTGCACCTTACACTGTGCCAGAGGCTGAGGGTTAGGGCGACAATAAGGGTTAAGGGGGCCCTGGGCTGCCTCTGAGAAAGTAAGCATAACTGGGTCCGGCGAGAATGGGACGTGGGTTTCCAAGGAAGCCAGGCAGGCTTTTGAAGAACGGGAGGCTGAGGCAGGAGGATCCCAAGGTTGAGCCTAGCGAGGGCAACTCCGTGACTCAGCAAGTTCCCATCTCGAGAAGACAAATAGGTAGACAGTAACACCAGGACTGAGGATGTAGTTAAGTGAGAGCTCCCTGGGTTCAACCCCAGTACTGGGGGAGGGCAGGGGCCCCCAGGGGAAGGGACAGGTCTTTCCGGGCGCGGGGATGGTGCCAGCCAGCCCCAGCCGCCCACCCGCGGGAGCAGCCTGGGCTGCAGCGTGCCCTCGGGCCGGGGGGCTGGGCTGCGCGGTGCCGGGGGTGGCGCATGCTCAGGCCTCCCCTCCGCCCAGGTCGTGCACACCGGTGAGAAGCCCTACTGCTGCCTCGTGTGCGAGTTGCGGTTCTCCTCGCGCTCCAGCCTGGGCCGCCACCTCAAGCGGCAGCACCGAGGCTCGCTCCCGCCGCCCCTGCCCCCGGGCCCCGGGCTGCCGGCGCTGGGCGCACCCTGCTCAGCCTGCTGCAGCGCGGGGCCG